GTTTTCAATCAAATGAAATACATAAAGCAGGGGTGTGGGGAGGAGGGGGAGTAGGGGCAGGCAGCAGAACCTATTTAGTCGTGGCTGTTCATTACCAAGTTCAAAAACATAATGATGGCTAAATTATTTAGCCAGTCAGTGTTTAAGTCTATATTAGACTTCTTAGAATTTAAGATTAAGATATGATATATGAGCAGGGATTGTTTGATTTTGTTTGGTTTGTATGTGTGTATGTATTTATGTGTGCATATGCACTCATGTGTGCTTGTGAACAATAGAGATTAACCACAGTTGCTGTTGCTCAGGTGCTGCCTACCTTGTTTTGTTTTGTTTTGTTTTTAAGAAAGGGTCTCTCACCATTACTTGTGGTTAGCTGCCTGGGGTTGGCTAACTGGACAGGGAGCCCATAGATCCCTTTGTCTCATCTTTCCCAGAATTAGGATTTTAAGTACATAGTACCATGCAGCAAGCACTTTACCAACTGACCTGTTTTCACAGGCTTCCTCTTTTATAAAATAAAGGTTTGTTTTTACATGGGTGTTGCTGGTTGGCATCAAACTCAAAAACCTTTTACCTAAAACTCCCAAGAGCTGAATAAAAACCATCCAAACAGTCTACAAGTTATTGTTGAAACATTTTAGGCAACTTTTGTATAAGGTCCTAAAAAGAGAAAGATGGAAGTTCTAATAATTTTTGTAATGCTCACTGGAAACTTTAAATTACATTTTTAAGGTTATTTTTTTAAAGAAGTCTTTGCTTCACAGCTTTAGTTTAGCGCCAAGTGCAACTAGAGATGAAGCACTGGGCACAGCCTTTATCTACCTAAAAGAATTTCATCAACCCTAAGATGTCAGGGATTTTCCCCATCAGACATTTATTATGAATAAATCAGCACAGAGCTCGGGACTAAATTGAAAGGGAGTCACTCACTAACAGAAAAAGGAGATGGCCAGGTGAACCTGTGGTAAACACTTGTTTTATGAATTGCGTTGAGCAGAGGTACTGTGGGTAAATGAGCCCCAGTGAAGGTGTTCCAAAGGCTGGATGATACGTAAAGGATCTGAAGAAGAAGAGATGTGCAACAGGGACTCAAGAGTCAGTTGAGAGCAGAGATCTGGCAGAAAGAAAGTCAAGAGTCACAAAGGCACAAAAGCATGGTATGTGTGTAGGAATGTTCCATCAAGGATGCATACTACCAATACTGTAAGAACAAGGCAGTTAGCAAGAATGGATGGCAGTGGACTGGGTAGGAGTCTTGGGAAGATCATATTAAATGTTACAATTCTAAGATGCATGATTATTTTCATTTCCATTTTTTTTCTGAAATTACAGCTCATGCAGTTATCATTGGAAGAGATTTGTCAGCTGTCAGGAGAAAAAGTAAGTTGTAATAAAACTAATGTTACCTGTTCATGGGTAAATTAAAACTAACTTCATGGATAAGTCAATCAAGTTGGATCTCCGTTCTTTTATTACTTAAATGGTAAATTTATATGGTAGTCAGTATGTACAGAAGGTTGCATCTGATCCTCAGCAAAGCAATTACAGGCAGAAGATAGCTCAAGTTCTTTAGGAGTAGAATAGGGATGCTATAGGGAAAGATACACTGATGAAATACATGGATACATAAGGTACAATAAGGACACTCAGAGTCAATAAAGGAATCTGAAGGGCCAGTTTCAAGATGTTTGCAAGCAACTGGATATTTCAGGAAGAAAGAAGAGGTCAATAAGGCACCAAGAAAGATGAGTTAGGCTAACCTTGACCATAAATAAGAGTAGAAGGCTGGGTACCATTGGGGGAACTCTAGAAGATAAGTTACTAGAGACAGCAAATGCAAGTGACTTTCTAAAATTATCTTGGAGATAGAGATGGATATAGAAATATAGATAGAGGGACAAAATGACAAGAAGGGAGTGTACAGGAACAGGGTGATGGAGGGTGGGAGAGAAGTAGGGAAGGAAGGAAGGTAGGAATGAATGAAGGAGCAAAGGAAGGGAGAGAGGGAGGTAAGTTAGGAGTATTTTGAAAATAAAATGAAAGCAGCAGACATATGTTATAGCTCTAATATAAGGACAAAGATCCCAAAGTGAAGAAATAGAGACATCAGAGGAGGGACTTGTGATGTAGCAAGACATGGAGACAAGTATGTGTTTTGTTTTTAAAGCATGTTGAAAAGTCCGAGCAACAACAAACAGTTTTGATGCAGAAATCTGTACTCCAGGCAAGTGTTTGCAAAGCAAAGGAAGAGAAATAATTATGGAGAATTCAGATTTTTATGGTGGAGAAACCACTCTTTTTGGTAGTGTAATGGTGTGTGTATAACATTATGCATCTACGAAAAGCCAAAGAATAACACCAAAAGTAGACCAGGAAGCAAATAAGGGGCTATAAATAATATACCCACACAATCACATCAATTGGAATGTATGTGTCATATCGAGATGAAATGTTATTAGGTAGTAATCTGTGACCAAGCGAGTGGATATGTCAACTCTGTGAACTATCTGCTGCACTTCCTTACACTCCTCAAATTGCTATATAAAGAAATCATTCATTCAAAACACATCCTAGTTCTTTTTTTTTTTTTCAAAATCTTCTCAAATAACCCAAGCTAACCCAAAACAAATTGGGAAGTGAGAACAGGAGAATGGCATCTGTAGGAAGCAGAAAGGGTCCCATAACCAGGCTGTATACCTGACATCACTGCACTACCACATGCCATTCTTGGGCATTTGCTCTAGAATGCTAGATGAACTTTCCATGCTTTGCCCATGAACAAATGTGAAGACATTAAAGAGCCAGCAAGAGATTATGCCTCATGCAAAGTACTCAGGGCAGAGCTTCTTACCTGCAAGCAGAACAGTAAAAGTGTCACCATGTTTCCTTTGGAGAATTTTCATGAAAGCCAAGGGATTCTTTTGGAGACTCAGAGCAATGCCAAGGTAAGGAAGCCAGCCTTTTATCAAGGGAGGTTCATCAGGTCGCCTATGAAGAGAAAAAAAAATCAAAGAAAAATGAAATCATCCACATTGTAATAGATGCAGGTAATTTATCCAGTCTAAATAAGCTGCATGGGTAGCACAGCCTCTTTAAGTTCACCTCTACATGGGCATATGGATTTTGTCTTTTTTTTCATTCTTTTTCTGTTTATGTGGCTATAGGGTAGGTAGTTCAGTTCCCTACTTTTGTCAAGCAACTTTTGTTACATGTTTTTCTTATAAGGATTATTAAGACATTTGCCTCAAGGTTAAGGTAAGCTCTGTAGCCCACACAACTGTGCTTTCAGCTACACGAGAAAATTAGTCAATCCATGAACCCAATAAAAACATCTCAGCAATGTAGCTCTCTGACAGAACCTTTAGACACATGCAGTAAGCACAGTACACTGCAAATCTGAGAGCTCTTGCTGTGCTCTGGGTGTTAGATGTCACATAGTTCAGCTGCCAAAGTGAAGCTCTTTGTTATCAGCTGTCAATCAGGCTGGAATTGCATAATCAGAAGAACCACAATAAATTAATTCTAAAAATATGTTGTGCTATTAAGAACAATAAAGATGCAAGTATAGAGCATGGAGGATAGCTTGGAGGTAAAGTGCTTGCTTGTTTTGTCTGCATGAGATTCTGAATTGGAATCTGGGTACCACACAAAGAAAAAGAAACCCACAAAACCTCAGCATTATTTTCCTGAATTTTATATATTTTTTTTATTTTATGATGAATTTTATTGAAATAATGAATACAATTAGGATTGATTGTTAAGTATTACTAATAGAATAACTTTTACATGTGTGAAACATTCCTTAAAATGCTATGAATTAAAGTTTTTTTTTTCTTTTTGATCTCTGACATTAGCAAACTTGTATTTGAAACTTTCTTCCAGTCATTTATTTGGTAAATGTGATCTGACTTAAATTAAAAAGAAGACAGAATAATCCCCCCCTATTTTTTAACCCTGAAAAGGATCAAAACAAATATTCAAAAGGATTTCTGTTCTCTGGTCTATCTGTGGACTACATGCCTCCTGAACTCCATTTGGATCAATCACAAATATTACTTTCTCAGTTCTAATCAAACATCAAGGTGAAGGCTTTCTCAGCAAGGGTTTTTATGTAGCTATATTAACTCTATCAGAAGTTTTGTTTCCCACACCAACACAGTAGACTTCAATAAAATATAGACTGCAGAT